CGTGGATCTTGGCAGTATGTTCCCAGACCAGCCGCCTTCGCCTGGGGTGTATATTGACAACAATTTTAGTTCATGTACTTCAGCTGCAACGTGAGCTTCTCATCATTGCCCGTTTTTTTGCCGACGATCCTGGAAGATATGGGGTTTACCTCCATCAACGCTCAGGGGCTGACGGCACCGCCATTCTTTGCGTCCTTCCTCGTCACGATCGCTACGACATGGGTTGCTGATCGGATTCAGCAGCGGGGCCTGGTGATTGCTTGTGCCTCTCTAGTCGGTGCTGTTGGCTACGTATTACTTGCGGCTTGCAACTCTGTTGGCGTTCGTTACCTTGGCGTGTTCCTTGCTGCTATCGGGGTGTTCCCGTCTATCGCCAACATTCTTCCCTGGGCTCTGAGTAGGTCAACTGCCCTAGCAAGTGATGATACACGCACTAATATGGCTTTTATAGACAACCAAGGCTCGGATAGCCGACGAGGCATGGGCATTGTCATTCTTAACGTCATCGGCCAGTGTGGTCCCTTTTTGGGGACCAATGTTTTCCCATCCAGCGATTCACCTCGCTACACTCGCGGGTTGTCTATCTGCGCCGCGTTCATGTTTTTCAACACGATTCTTGCACTGTCTTTGCGAGTTCTCCTGGCCTGGGAGAATCGCCGTCTGGATCAGCGGTATGGTGCAGTGGCGGAATGGACAGCTGGGGCCAAGGATAATACGGCTGTGGGGGAGGAGAATTATGGGGCGGGCTTCCGATATGTGTTGTAGGTTGTGGTGTTTTTTAGCGTGTTTGGTTTAATGCTATTTGTTGCGATAATGAGGTCATGCTCTTTGGCGAACTAGAAGTATGCTGAGCCTAAATTGGAAAGCAATTGCATGGTGTTGAGATTATTGGTGAAACTGAATGTAGTTTGCGGTGATCACCGGAGGGGTAGCAGTGTACTTCAAGGTTGCAGACTCCACCTCAGCGGGGATATATCTCGGCTACGTCAACCCAATCGTCAACACAACACCAGCATCTCGCAACCTCGCTTCTGTTACCTTCATTTTATTACTCCCCTTTAAGCCTTACTGCTGACAGCATAGTCGACTACATTACCACCTTTTGCCCTGCGCTAGCAGCCTCACAACCAAGCTAGCCACACACCCCCCAAAACCATGCGCCTAAGGTCTTGACCACCGCAGCACTTACCGTGTTGACCTCACTCACATTTGAGAACCTCATTCCACTCCGGTGCCCACTGAGCCCCAGAAACCGATCCCAGCATGACCGAACCAACAACCACGAACCCGAATCTCTACGGGATTGTGGATATGGGAAGGTGAGTCAGTCAGTCCCCCACACAACCCATCAACTACATAACACCCTCGAAACCCCCTCGAGCCAAAAGCACTAAACCTCCCAAACCCACAGCAACGGCATCCGCTTCTCAATCACTGACCTCTCCCCCCCCACCGCCCGCCTCCTGCCCACCGTCTACCAATCCCGCGCCGCAATTTCTCTCTACGATGCCCAATTCTCCCCGCAGACAGAAACAGAAACGCGAACGCGAACGCAAACACGGGGCCCGATCCCGGACACAACCATCGCCCAAGTCCTCGACCACCTGCGCCACTTCCAATCCACATGCAGCGACTTCGGGGTGAGTGCGACCAACATCCACGTGCTGGCGACGGAGGCGACGCGGACGGCGCCGAACGCGGCGGCGTTCTGTGGTGCGATCCGCGCGCACACCGGCTGGGAGGTGCGGCTGCTGACCAAGGAGGAGGAAGGGCGGATTGGCGCCTTGGGGGTCGCGAGCTCTTCGGCGAGGGTGGCCGGGATTGCCATGGATTTGGGCGGCGGGAGTACTCAGATTACGTGGGTTGTGGAGGAGGACGGTGGGGCAGTGCGGACGAGTCCTCGGGGCGCGTTCAGTTTTCCGTACGGCGCGGCGGCGTTGGGTCGGTTGCTTCGGGAGGCTGAGGCTGAGGCTGATACCAAGTCGAGCGATGATGGAACGATGGCGTTGGGGGCGCTCAAGGCCGAGATGACCCGCCAGTTCCAGACGGCGTATCGCGAGCTCGAGGTGCCGGATTCCCTCTTGCTCGGGACCCAGGGGGAAGGAGGCTGCCAACGCAGTCTATATCTCTGCGGCGGCGGGTTCCGCGGCTGGGGGTACGTGCTCATGAAGACGTACTCCGACAAACAGAGCGAGGACGAGGGCGAGGCGTACCCGATCCCCATCATCAACGGGTTCCGGGTCCCGCGGGCGGAATTCCACGACACCGCCGCGGTGCTGCAGGAAGTTGCAGACACCAACACTACTGCAACCACCACGACGACCAAAATCTACGGCGTGTCGCGGCGCCGCGCCGCGCAGATCCCCGCCGTCGCGTTTTTGGTGAACGTCATCATGGACGCGCTGCCCGCCGAGGCCATCACGCACATCCAGTTCTGCCAGGGCGGCGTCCGCGAGGGCTTCCTGTACGACCGGCTCCCGCCGGCGGTGCGCGCCCAGGACCCCCTCCTCGCCGCGACGCGGCCGTATGCGCCGCCGTCGGCGGACGTGCTGCGCGATCTGCTGCGGGCGGCGCTGCCGGACACGCCGTCACCGCGGGACGCGGACTCGTTCTATCTGCCCCAGTCATTCTGGGCGACGAATCTGCTGGCGGCGCTGGCGGATTTGCTGTTCGCGCATGCGAAGGTGCCCCGCGAGTCGCGCGCCGCCGCCGCGCTGCATAGCACCGCGACGGGGATCCTGGCGGCCACGAACTGTCTGTCGCATGTGGAGCGCGCGCTGATCGCGCTGGTGCTTTGTGAGCGCTGGGACGGGGAGCTCGCCCCGACCGATGAGGCGTACCAGCGGCAGCTGGTGCGGTGCGTGTCGCGCGAGGAGGCGTGGTGGTCTCGGTACCTGGGGCGCGTGGCGGCCTTAGTCGGGGATGTGTATCCTGCCGGCCGGGAGCCGGAGGAGGGCCGTTGGAGGGTGCGGTTCGAGACGGAGTGGAGCTCGGTCGTGAAGAAACAGGGAAGGGAAGTGCGCGACGTGCTGCACCTGACGGTGCGGCGTGGGGACACTGCCACCACGTCCATGCTACAGGAGATACTGACGGACAGGGCGGAGGGCCTGGAGAAGGTGGGCAAGAAGAAGAATTGGATTCATGGGCGCGGGGTGAAGGTCAAGGTCACTATCGTGTAGTATGGAGACTGGAAAGCGAGCCATGCGAAGTATGGTTGGACAGCCAGCCAGCTACGAAGTTACATGTGCCCTGATCCACGTCTCTCTACAGGTTGGCGTGAGGTGCACCTCAAGACATATCGTAGACAGTGTGATAGACGAATCTCCCCAGAGTTTGCCAACTGGAGTATCAAATTGCGTAGCTCACAAGGACCCTTGACCATAGCCAGCGAAATGGAGCCTGATTCGCCACTGGCCTTGGACTCAGACCCCCAGCCCTGAAATGCAGGAAAACAGGATGAAACCCGATCCATCTACGAGAGATCGCAGCACGCAGATTGCAACCGTCGATTATGCATGCATGCATGCAAAGTGCCCAGCAAGAGCAAAAAACCAGCAGTAAGAGGGACTTGAAAATAGTGATGGTATTGCATCGCCAGATGTAAAAAAGTCCGATTACTCGTCCTTTCTTGCTATCAAGTAAGAAAAAAAACAAGACACTTCCATTTCACTCGCCTTCCCCCACGTCAAGAAATCCGTAATCCGCGAAATTCCGTCGTAAGTTGGGGAGGAACCGTGCTTTGATTTTTTCCTGATCGAAAAGGAGTGGTAGCCTTCCGATCGCAAATAGCCGCATCACCAGATCCTCAAGCCTCTTCCATTCACGCCACCTTCAAAACCCGGGGAATCGTCGTTGCTCAAAAAGTCATCGAGTTCTTCTTCTTGTATCAAATTAATCGAAGAGGATTTTTGTTCGTGAAGATGCTTCCGTTTAAGCGGTGGGGTTGGCGTTCATCTGTTTTGAGGGGGTTGTGTAAGCCCTTCCGTTTGTGATCATAGCACACAGCATTTTTCCATCCGATATTCATCGAGACTGCCGTATCCCTCCCATTTCTTCCTTTGTATCCCAGCTGATCGTGGTGGATTTTTCATACCTTGCGCTTGCCACCGGTGAGGGTGACGTTGACGAAACGGCGGGTGTAGACGACACGCTTGTAGGCACGGCCCTTGGGCTGCTTGGCCTTCTCCTGCTTCTCGACCTTGGGAGTGGCGGCCTTGACCTTACCGGCACGAGCGAGCTGTAGTCGAGAAATAAAGGGTCAGATATCTTTCATTCTTTTGATGCTGGTCATAGTAGTTTTTCGACTTTTCGATGGTCGTTGTGTCCGGTCGTCGATGGGGCGAACGTGATAGAGAGGAGAGAGGGGAGCGCTTACAGATCCGTGAACCTATTTTCATCCAGATGTTAGTCTTTTCTGTTTCTCATCCTGAGGACATTTTTTCCAGGAGCATCTCTTTTGATAACTTACCTTACCCATTTTGGCGTTATGTGATGATCTTCAAGAACAACGAAAAAGGGATCCTGTCGAGATTTGTCGTACGGGGCGGGAAGTGCGAGGGCGATTTGGGGGAGGGGGAATTTTGGCGGTTTCGTCGACGGGATTGCAAGTCACGCGTTTGTGCGGCGGTTCAACTTTGCCCCACCCCGGTTTCGGTTAGCCCCGTTACATAAGGGTGGATGACTCATGTGTGTGCATAATCTGGGTTATGCTGGGCTGTGCTATGTATGCTATGTCATTCTAGACTTTGAGTAGTTAACTATTGCAGGTGGTATCCGAATATCACGATAATGAGGCTACTCAAGAAGACGGTAGAGTAATGGATCTAATAGATGGTAGGATATAATTTCAAACGATGCATTTTGATGAAGCTATTCTCAGCGATACTCATAATACTGAGTACATGAGGTTGGTGAAGGAAGAATGAAGCAAGCGGGGGGAAAGAAGAAGGGTCCCCAGTCCCGAGTCACCCCCGCCGACTCCCCAATATGAAAGGCAGTTCCCCCGGCCGGGCCTATCCTCGCACCTGCCGCCTCCGTATGGACTACTAAGTCACAGTACCAATGGATGACTCTACCCTGATCACTCTCTGGGGCTCATCTTTCGCTAACCTCCCTCTTTCCCCATGAGACTGGCTCAACTATCCGGAGACAAGCCTCCGCATGCATCGTGCAAACCCCCATATAACAACTGTGATAGACTTGATTGTATGACGCCTGGCGCCTTCAGCATATAGCGCACCATAACACAAGCAATAACGCCCCATTTCGATCCTAATCCTCAGCCCCTCCACCCAGTAGAGTGCGAATGCGAAGGCTAGTGTGACCTCGAATGCAACCGAGTGCCATGTTTCGAGCCCGAGCGCCTTCCATGTCCATGATGAGCATGTCTGTGTCGGCGCCCTTGCCCATGCCCTTGCCCATGCCCTTGCCCATGCCCCAGCCTAGCCTCATCAGCACCGACTTTACCCACTTCCCTGGTCATAAGCCCAACAAACACCAAAACCATCGCCGCGAGCAGCTCGGGGAGAAACCCCAACACAACACGAACCGCCAAACTCCCTGTCGCCGGGTTTAGGTCCGCGTGTTGAGTAAATTGCGCGACAAGCATGTAGATTGCTGGAATCTCGACGAGGGGAAGGGCGAGGAGGGTGCCGGTTAGGAGCTGTGCCTTGCCTCGAGGCAGCTTTGTGTTAGCACATGAACCATTCTTCCGTATGGATCCAAAACCAGATAGTATCAACGATCTGGAAAGGCAGGGGATGAACGCACCAACCACCCCTCCCTCCCGGTCAAGCCCGCTGGTGCACCCCTCCCATTCCAACGAGTCCACAGCCCCCACAAAGCGAGCACCCCCCACGCAACCTCCAACAGCACCATGCCAACCTTGATATTGGATAAATCATTGGGCTTAGGCGTATCGCTCAGAAGCCCGCCAGCACCAGCCCCGACCATTACCACCCCCGTCGCCACGAGGACATGGATGAGCGCCATGAACGTCCATTCGGTTCGCTTGTTTGGGAATAAACAGTAGATTCTCCTGGATCACGATGGGAACATATGAGATATATTGCACTTGCTCTTGCTAAGGGGAAAACTTACGCCTCATGCAACACCCCGTCTATCGAAAGCAGCAGCGGTGAGAGCCCGATACTGGATATGATCTGGGCGCCGGTGTTATGCGGGTTGTGGAGGCCCATGGCGGCCCCGGTCACGCGAAGAAAGCAGAAGGCGAGGAGGTAGAGCCAGGCGAGGAGGCCGTGGCGGCCATGGCTGAAGACGAGGTAGAGGGTTGGAAGTGTTAGGGGGGCGTAGAGGGCGAGTTGCGAGACGAGGAGTCCGGACGTCATGTTCAGTCACTCAGTGTACAGGCTGGGAGAGACGGGGGGGAGGTTTGGGTAAAAAGGTACAAAATACTATATCTATACGCATTCTAGGCAACAAATTTCGGGCATATAGTTAAGACGCAGGGCCGAGATGCAGGCCCGGACGCTATTGAACGAGACCGAGAATCCTTGTCTATTAGAGCCAATCATCTGCGAGGCCTCATGCAATATGATTCTCAAGGCTAGGTATGCCTCTGTGCTTGTGGAGACGTCGCCGGGGTAGTTAGGCGCGATGCCCCAGGAGCCTTCGGCGTTTTGCTGCGAGAGCAGCCATTGGCGGTATTGGCTGCCTTCGTCGGGGTCGATTTGTTGGTAGAGCACATATATACAGAAAATGTGCTCGCAGGTCACGGCCACATTAGACTCGAGCTCGCCGCACCAGTGGCGGTTGGAGAAGATCTCCCAGGCGGAGTAGCGGCTTGTGTTTGCTGTGGTGCACAAGATATAATCATCTCTACTGGCCAGGACATTAGGCGTTGCCAGTGAGCAGGAAGGGTTGGTTGAAGAGCCATGATGTATTTGTGTGCAGCGTCTCCGATCCACCATATGTCGCGTAATGGTGCCGACAAGGCGAGAAAGTAGGCTAGAACCACCAAAGCACGAGGTCTCCTCTTCTCGAGGAGGTCCATGAATTCGGTTATCACAAACAACGGGAAGACCATGATCCGGCGACAGGTGACTTGCGGATGTTCCTTTGCTTCCATGGCCAGCCAGGTGGCGTTGATATGCGCGACGGCCCCTCGATATGCTTCTAGCGCCATGTCGTTGTCCTCGTCGTCGGGCGCAGTCGGAAGCAGGAAGGAAAATGCCCCAGCATCAGAACTCGTCCGCAAGGGTATAGGAAAGGTATCAATAATACACCAGATACTCGCGGGATGAGTATCATGCCTCGCAATCTCCAAGGCCGCGTCAAAGACAGCGACCGACCCGCGCAATAGACGCATCCATTCACTGACGTGCTCGGACGAAACAACAGTATGATTCTGTAAGGTAGCAAATACGTCGACCTGTAACAGGATGCTTGTAAAGCACACCGCATCCGCGGTCTGCGTAGTTATGCCGCCGATACAGAGTCGATGTTCGCGCAAAGCCTGCTCGAGGAAGTTGCAGTGGATGTCCAGCAAGCCAGCTTCGTTTGGATTGGCTTTGGACAGATGCAGGGCCGAGATTGCGAAGACGGCGTGCAGGAGCGGCTTATAACCGAATGCGAGTCGAGGCACGTCGATCGACCAACAGTCTTTGACACGCTTCAATTGGGCCCCAGGCAGAGTGGCACTGGCGAATAGGGTAAAATGATGCAACAAGCGCAACTCTATATTACTGGGATCCGATGAACTGGGCTGGAGTGGGCGAGATTGGATTTCCTCCGCGGGCCTGTCATAGACACAGGGGATCCCATGACGATGGCAGTCGCGACACACAGGTCGCGCTTCATCACACTATCACACTAAATCAGTCAGGACACATGTGGTGGCCAGTGGTAACTTGAAATGAATTCCATCTACCTTTACTCGTCGGGCGCGACATCGCTGACATCCGGTCCTGGACTTGCGGTGGGCGAGACGGGGACCCTTGCGCTTTTTGCGGTTGGACGAGTCCCTTTCGCTTTGACTGTGGCCTCGTGGCGAAGAGGACGGGTTACTTTCTGGGATGGCCGAGAAGGTCATCTTGCTTCGGTCCCACTTGTCATGGCGATGGGTTTCAAAGCAGCGATGACTTATCCCGGGGTCTTTCGGATTCAGTGAAGAGGAGCGAAGCCTTCCTCAGTTGGTCGACCTGTCACTATTTACCTCAATGATGTTAAGACGGGCCAGTGAGAAGGGACGAAACGGCAGATAAGTCGCCCGGATGTTGAGGATTTTCTTGAAGTAAGCAGTCATAGACAGGTGTAGGCCGCGAGTTATTGACTGCAGCGAAGGTTCCTGGGAGATGGACGCGGGCCGCCCTCACTAAAGACTCCCGGTCTTGAACGGAGTGTACTGTAAAACCTTTGGTCACCTAACTATGAGTAGGTCTGAATAATCAATTAAGATTTGGGGCACGCTTTCCCGACTGAGGCCTCCCATTATACATAGAAGCTAGGAAGACAATAGCTAAAGTATACCAGTATACCAGTATACCAGTATACCAGTATACCAGTATACCAGTATACCAGCCCTGAGGTGAACAGAGATCATGTGACTATACTCTGACCCCCGCGGACTACAGTACTCCCTCGAAGCTCATAGTTGCCTGCCATGACAATGTAGAGCATATCATAGGCTAGTATTCGAAAGTCATCATGATCGTCGTATTGATTGACTCACCCAGTCAATCATGTACTTTACTCCTTGGGTTCACCGGTCTACCGGTCTAAACATCTCCGGGCAGAATCGGAGGGACAGGAAGTTAAATGATCGTCGAGGAGGAGAAGGAGGAGCATATCATGGTCATTACGTCTTCTGGCCTGCCTGTCTATTTAAGCTGCCCCTCCTTCCCTCCTCTCAACCCCGCTTCTTTTCTTCTCTTTCTCTTCTCCCCAACACAATCACTCGTCCCATCTTCATCCATCTTCATCCATCTTCATCCATCTTCATCCATCTTCATCCATCTTCATCCATCTTCGACAGATACTACCACTATCTCCAGAAGTCGTGATCCCTTTCATTCAATTGAATCTCCCCCAGTCATGGGAAGAGCTTCAACTAACCTATCTACAGGAACTCACTTCGTCCAATGTAAACACCACCTACCACGGCCCCTCGCGGGTCTTGACGGTGGAAGTCATGCAATGCCTTGAAGCTGGGCAACTCATTGATCAGGTACCTCAGGTAACTTTGGCCATGGACCGGTGTTCGTTCCTATCTGCCAGCGTAATTCGCGCTGGTGGCTCTGGGTTCGTTCTGAGATTATACGGTTAAACTTGATCTGGATAATACCAGCGAAAGGATCATGCCTTCCCTCGTGCCCCCTTCATTGATGGAATAACTAACAATCCTCAGTCACTACCGTGACTTGATCCCTCACTTGAACAACCCCCAAAGAACATCATGTCTCCCCCAGCTGCCTTGCTCGAGTCCCCCGTGGCCCCTACCGCCGGTCTCAAGGGAAAGGTCATTGTTCCTGAGATTACTCCCATGATGGGAGGAGACTCGCAGACCAAGCTGCTCGACCACTTCGGCGGCAAGTGGGATGACTTCAAGTTTGAACCGATCCGTGAGAGTCAGGTGTCTCGCGCCATGACCCGACGCTACTTCCAGGATCTGGACAAGTATGCCGAGAGTGACATCGTCATTGTCGGCGCTGGTTCCTGTGGTCTGAGCACCGCGTACGTGCTGGCGAACGCGCGCCCTGATTTGAAGATTGCCATCATCGAGGCCAATGTTTCTCCTGGTTCGTACAACTGAATAATTAGCAGCTTACAACATCAACTAACCCCGTACTATAGGTGGTGGTGCTTGGCTGGGTGGCCAGCTCTTCTCTGCGATGGTCATGCGTCGGCCTGCGGAGGTCTTTTTGAATGCACTGGGCGTGCCTTACGAGGAAGACCCATCGAACCCCAGCTATGTCGTCGTGAAACATGCGTCCTTGTTCACCTCGACCTTGCTGTCCAAGGTCCTCTCCTTCCCAAACGTCAAGCTCTTCAACGCCACCAGCGTGGAGGACTTGGTGACTCGTCCCTCCCCCAACGGAGATCCCAAGGAGACCCGCATCGCGGGTGTGGTCACCAACTGGACACTGGTGACTCTGCACCACGATGACCACTCCTGCATGGACCCCAACACCATCAACGCGCCTCTCGTGATCAGCACCACCGGACACGACGGCCCGTTCGGAGCCTTCTCGGCCAAGCGCCTGGTCTCGATGGCGACCGTTGACAAGCTGGGCGGCATGCGGGGTCTGGACATGAACTCCGCCGAGGATGCGATCGTCAAGAACACTCGTGAGGTCGCTAAGGGCCTGATCATCGGCGGCATGGAGCTGTCGGAGATTGACGGCTTCAACCGCATGGGCCCGACCTTTGGTGCGATGGTGCTCAGCGGTGTCAAGGCGGCCGAGGAGGCCCTCAAGGTCTTTGATGAGCGTCAGCGTGAGTGTGCCGAGTAAGATGATCGTTTTGTCGAGTTGCCACTCTACGCATGAGATGTTGACGAAGCTGCCGGTGGTTTTCTATCGGAATGTCCGCTGACTTTTGTTTCGTTATCAAGAAATGTCCACAAATTGAAACGAATGCGCTTGATAGCCAAATATGAACACTCGTTTATGACTAAAAAGTTGAATCCATGGTGTATCCATACGTAGAAAACATGCCAGTAAATCTCAAGAGCCTTTTCTTCATCACCGACACCTTCCATTGCCTCTGATATAGAGGTAAAATACGTATGATTAAATTCTGTAACCATCAACATCATCGCTATACAACCCACCCAACCGACCGCCAAGACGCGGGAGAATCTGACGTCGGCGGGTGCGTATCGCATCCCCGATCTGGACCACTTCTTCTCCGCCGCAGGCAATTTATCCACTGCATCAACCTTCCCCAGCTCCCACTTTTTTCCCTCTCACACAACTTACATCCCAAAAAAAATCTCCAGAAATGCAACACCCCTAATCCATCCTCAGCATCGGAAACCACAAACCACGACCCCCCGCCTCACCAACAAACGAACCTACACCCAACCATCGCGCAAAAACCAACATGAACAACGACCAATTCCGCCGCCTCGTCCTCGACACCCCGACCAGCAGCAGCAGCAGTAGCAACACCAACAAAAATGCGCGCACCACCACCAATTCAGGTGCAACACCCTCACCCTCCGCCGCAGCCGCAGCCGCGCTGGGCTCGCGCCTACGATCGAGCATCCCCATGACGCCGTACGTATGCCCCCCACAAACTGTCCTGGAAGGTTCTATGGCGGGAAACTTGCTAATTGCTTTCCGGGTGTACACAGCCGCGCACTCAACACCACGAAATCATCCCTGCACAACGAATTCGCGCGCCAACTCGCCGATCATCGCCGGGAGCAGATGGGCGGCGCCGGCGGTCCTCCGGCGAAACGGTTCAAGTCGTCGGCTGCGCCGAAGGGGACGAGGTTGCCGGAGGGGTATCGAGATCGGGCGGCTTTGTTGAGGGGGGTGGAGCAGCAGGGGGAGAAGGATGGGGATGGGGATGGGGGTAAGGCTAGTGGAGACCGGGGGGATGGTGATGAGTTGGAGAAGCGCGTGAAGGCGTTGGAGGAGATGGTGAAGTTGGGGCAGATTGATCAGGGGACGTTTGAGGGGTTGATAAGGGAGATGGGTGTTGGTGGGGATTTGGGGAGTACGCATATGGTTAAGGGGTTGGATTGGGAACTGTTGAAGAGGGTGAGGTCCGGGGAGGATGTTACGGGGCCCAAGGGGGGGGATAGTCGGAGTGTTGAGGCTGAGAAGGTGGGGGATGTTGATGATGAGTTGGATCAGGTGCTTGGCGAGGAGGAAGCCGGGGTCGATGGGTTGCCTTCTGCTCCCAGGGAACAGAAGGTCAAGAAGAAGGGGATCATGGCGCCGCCTCCGCCTCCGCCTAGACTGGAGCAGGTGGAGGCTGGGGTGCCCAGGTCCAGGGATGAGATTTTGAGGCAGTTGAAGGCTAGGCGTGCTGCTGCTGCTGCTGCTGCTGCTAATGCTGCGGAGGCTGAAGCTGAGATGGAGGAGCAGCGGCCGGTTGAGCCCGCGCTGGGGGATAGATTCAAGAGGATCGGGAGTGAGTCGAAGGTCGAGAAGAAGCGGTGGATCGAGCAGGATGAGACTGGTCGCCGGAAAGAGATCCTCCAGATCACGGATGCGCAGGGCAAGGTCAAGCGCAAGGTGCGATGGCTGGATAAGCCGGGCGAGGCGCCGGCGCCTGCTCCTGCCGCTAAACCGCTGGGCATGGACGTTCCGGCTGAGTTCGCGGCCAAGGCTGCGCCGACCCCGGCGGAGGAAGAAGACGACGATATCTTTGCTGGAGTGGGAGCGGACTACAACCCGTTGGCAGACCTGGGAGACGAGGACGATTCATCGTCGGAGGATGAAAGTGAAGCCGGCGAGGTCGCTCAGAAGAAGTCGGTGGCTACAGACACTGCTCCAGCGGAGGCTACTGCGGATACGGAGAAGAAACCTGTCGAGGACACGACAGGCCGGCCACGCAACTACTTCGCTACATCGACGACGGAAGAAGTCCCCGAGATCGATCGCTCCAATCCCCTGGCTAAGGATGCTACACTACTGGCCGCTCTCAAACGGGCGGCGGCCTTGCGTCAGTCCGAGGAGGCTGCTGGGGAGGGAGAGGAGGATGTCGACGCGGAAACAGCCTTGCGGCGCAAGAAGTTCCTGGAGGAGGCGCGACGGCGTGAGGCGTTGGATGCGATGGATATGGACATGGGCTTTGGAGGCAGTCGGGTGGGCGATGAAGAGGACGACGAAGAGGTCGTGCTCGAGGGCGAGGGCCGGGGTGGGAAGAAGAGGAAACGAGGGCCCAAGAAGAAGAAGGGCGATAAGAACAGCGCGTCAGATGTCTTGCGTGTTATGGAAGATCGGAAGCAGGGGCAGTGAATGTATGATGGGACTGGTGGTTGGTGAATCTCGGTGAATCTCAGTGAATCTTGTGTTATGATACCAGTGAATGGAAATGAATTCCAGGCACCTTCCAGAAAATCTTTGGCTATAAAACCCCCCTCATCTCTCCTTCCTCTTCTTCCTTCTCTCTCTCTCTCTCTCTCTCTCTCTCTCTCTCTCTTCTCCTTCCTCCTCTTTCCCCAGACTCTTCCTTCTTCCCATCTTCCTTCTTCCCTCATCCTCATCTCCATCCATCTTCGTCATCCCCTCAGCTTGACTATCTTCCTGTATACCAACCTGTCTATGTAAAGAAGCCGTCAAGATGAACACATCATGATCAGCTTCTTTCGATCAGATTCTGTCCCCCAGCGCAGACATTTCTTCTCTTCATGCCTCCTCCTACCTTCTCCTCTCTCCATCTTTTCTCATCAACACTACCACCACCACCACACACACATTCCTCTGAGAAGACAACACCTTCAGAGCTTCAGATAAGAATCAATAGGTAAGAACCCGAAGCTATCTACCCCAGAACAGCCCAACTCCTACTCCTTTCTTCACCCCCATCCCCCTTTCTTCCCGTCGAACCTCCTCTGGGCCCAGGACGGTGGCCTGCCGCGCCTCAGGAAAAGTATGATTTCCCTGTCTCTCTTTCCAAACATTCCTCCATCCTCTTCTCCAGAATCTCGCAGTTTGTCTTTCAGTTTGGCGTCTGGGCTTTGCTACTACCGAGGGGCCCCTCGGTGCAGCATGAGCTACAGAAACACTGGGGCATCTCTTGTGAAACACCGGAAGGAGGACAGGAAACACACTGGAAAGACTAGAGGCACATTTCAAATCTCGATCCTTAATCCTGAGGACGGTAAGGTGTACCCGAGCAAATGGTATTCTTCTCACTTTCCAAAGTGGTTGAACTGGACAAGACCCCGGACTTGATCAGAAGGAGTCATCGCCCTTCTCGTATCTGTTGTGAAGTCTCCGTGGGCGAACGCCGATCCACAGCGGGAGTAGTAGGCTTTGATCAAGGACGGTCCCGTGGAAGGTTGGTGTGATCCACGGGGATGCCGCTTGTTTTCTCCTCGAAGTTAAACAGCCGCTGTGGTTGCACTTTGGGCTATGGATCCGGACGGTCTTACTCAGTGGCGTTTGTCGCTGAATGATGTGTTCTTATGTTTAGGTTCCATGCGATGCGATGCGATGATTTCGACGACGACGATGACGACAACGACAACGACAACGACAACGACGACGAGGAAGGTGAGGGTGGGACCATGGGCAGTATGGGGCATGAGAGATCATGTATATAGAGCATATAGATCGTGGTGTCGGTGTGCATATCAATATAGCATCAACTCCTGCTTTCATCCTGATCTGATTCTTCGCAACGAATTATTCCTTTCAGTAAACTCTTTGTAAGCATATCATGCATGCAAAAACTTGATCAGCTCATCAATCTCAGCCTAGTAAACATTAACTTATATACAAAGACCACACATATTATACACACAATCATACAAGAAAGCTCATCCCGCCCTCTTCGACGTCCCACCAGCAGCAGCAGCCGCCTCGGCAATCTGCTTCGCGTTCCGAACCTCCCACTCAAACTCCTTCAGCGCGCGCAGCTCGCTGGACATAAATAACCCTCCAATCAATCCATCCAGGATTCCCGCGCCAAAGTTCAACGTGCTCACGAACAGCAGGATGAAGGCCACATATGGCAGGTGGTCGCCGGTCCACCAAACGCCCACCATACAGCCGATCGACACAAACACGGAGGCGACAAAGTGTGCGAGTCGCCAGCGTCGCTGCGAGCGTTCCCGCTGGACATACTTGTCGATCATCTCGATGATGCGGCCATAGGTCTCTGGCTCGAGGGTGGTGTTGGGAGCGAGTGACGAGCCATCAGCAGCCGTAGCAGCGGCAGCAGCGCTACTCCCTTCAGCCTCCAGCTTAGCAGACTGCTCCTGCGCCTCCTCGCGCGTGATGACCGCCTCCACGGCGAAGTGATCGCTCAGCGAGCATCGCAGCGTCGGATGGCGCTCCATCATACTCAACTGGACCGACTTGACGGTCCATTGTGGGACTGACGGAGACCGCAACCCACCACCACCACCACCACTTCCATCTCCAACAAAGATATAATCGAGCCGCTTGCCGCGCGGACACGGGGCCTCGGGATCGACCTCGATCTCCTCACCCTTCTTGAGCAACCGCTTCTGATCCTCCTTACTCCAGCGCCAAGTATTGAACCGTCCATCGCAGGTGGCCCCATTCTCTGTGACATTGAACCGCGCCGAGGGGACGGGCTTCCCGCGCGCCTGCTCGACGGGGTCGATGGCGGCGCCCAGGGAGGAATCCGGATGCAGGACCTGCCAGACGTCGCGGACGGGGCTGTGGGCCTGGATGAGACGGTGCGCGAACGACGAGGGCAGCATGTTGAAGTCGCCCAGGCCGATGACGAGGTGGCCGCGTTCGGCGGCGCCGCGCATCAGCTTGGCGATCTCCCACGCCTGCGCCGTCCGGTGGCAGATGTACGAGTCGTTGGGCTCGCGCTCGTACGGCGCGTGCAGGTGCGTGCAGAACACCTCGGCCACTTCCTGGGGAGCGGCCCCAACCCGCACACGCGCGCACGCCACCCCTTTCCCCACGTACCAGTCCCCGCGGAAGAAGGCCGTCGGCCGCCCGTTCAGCGGGTACCCCACCATGCTGCTCTCCTCGATCGGCCACCGCGACAGGATCGCCAGCCCCGCGCCCCAGATGCCCCCGTGGTAGAACTTGCCGTGCGGCAGGATGTGGCGCGTCTGCTGCCGGATGCTCTCGTAGTCCGCCTGCGTCCAGCATTCTTGCAGCCCGACGATCTCGGGCGGTGGGGTGGCGATGGCCAGCCGTCGGCCGATCTCGGTGAGGCGCTCATGCCGCAGTTTGGCGATGTATTTGAGGCCCCAGCAGTTGAGGGTGAGGATGCGGATGGAGGTGGGGGAGGACGAGGGGGGATTAGTGGTTGCGGTGGTTGCGGTGGAGGGAGGGGAGGGTTGTTGTTGTGGTTGTTGTGGTTTTTCGGAGAGCGTATCGGCCATTGTGAAGGGGTTTTTAGGTCAGTGCAGTTGTCATCATGAGCTTACTGGATAAGTTGCATGGAGAGTTTGCGTGTGAGTGTCCAGACAGAAAAGAGACAACAAGCAACAAGCAACAAGCAACAAGCAACACCTATGGAAGTATAGTTAGCCTCCGCAATGATTTCATCATTTTCCGGGCGGACTCACCGCCCGGCCTCGACCCGCCCGGCTTCGCGCCGACCGCCTTCCCAAAACCCGCGCGATCGTCACGAGGGATGGGCGAAATTCCAATGAAAGAAATCCGAGAATCGCGCAAAAGATTCCCCAGAAAAAAACAACATTGCTTCCTTTTTTTTTTCTTTCTTTCTTTTGGTCGTGTGCTCCTCTCTCTTTTCCGTTTTTTTCCCTTCCTTTCAATCATCTTTTTCGCCGTCTGGGTAAATCTCCACTCGATAACTACTTACCTATCCTTCCGACCCAAAAAAAGCATTGAAGATACCTACCTACCTTACCTCCCAAACTCATGACCCAGACCCAGCCACAACCACAGCCATCATCCCCTTAACACCGCAATCCAATCCCTTTCCCTTGAACCCAGTTAAACCAGTTGAAACCAATCTCCATCGCATCCCCTTCAATCCCCACAATAGGGCATCCATCATCCATCATCCAGCATGGACGGACCATCCTCCACCCACCACCGCCCCAAGCGCCGTCGCCTGGACACGCCGGATAAACATGCCCAACAACACCAGCACCAGCACAACCACCTCTCGCACAAGAAAAACACCACCACGCCACTCAGCGCCAGCACAAAGCACAACGGCTACGCCCACGCCCACCCCCACAAACTCCAATCCCCGGTTCCACCACCACCACCAGCCGCAAGGCGAACCTCCAAAAATGACGACGACGACGACGACGACAACGACAACGATGAAGACGTCTCCGATTCCTCGGACGAACTAGCCGCGGGCTCCGAGCACGACGAGGCCGAGGAACGCCGCCGCCGCGCCAGCTGGAGTCTCCAGAAACAGAAAAATGTGTATACGCCGCAGAGGCCGTATCGTCCGCCGCTGAGGCGGAGTTCGAGTGGCTCCGAGAGTCCGGATGAGTTGACGATTGATGCGGAGGAGTATTGGCGGTCGACGAAGAAGCGTGGGTCGATTGGGGTTGTGGGGGGCGCGGTTGGGCAGGGGGCGCAGGGGAGGGGGAGGGGGAGTGGGAGGAGGTCGGTGGGCGGCGGAGCTGCGGGCGCGACGGCTGTGGCGGTCGCGGTGGATGTTCCGAGGGGGACGGGGAAGGGGAGGAGGTCTTTGTCTGGGTTACGGGGGGAGGTTAAGGTTGAGGTGGAGGTGGAGGTGGAGGGGTCTGAGGAGGAGGATGAGGAGGGGGAGGGGGAGGTAGAGGGGGAGGATGAAGATGGGGATGTGGAGGAGGAGGATGTGGATGTGGATGTGGAGGTTGATGAGGGTGAGGGTGAGGTGGGTGCTGATGCTGATGCTGCTGCGCCGGATGGGGATGAAGTTGAGACTGAAAATGCGGAGGTGGAGGTGGCCGTGGGGGTTCAGGTCGAGGAGCGGAATCTGGAGAATTCAGATCGCAAGGATCAGGCTCAGGCTCAGGCCCAGGATCAGGCCCAGGATCAGGCCCAGGATCAGGCCCAGGATCAGGCCCAGAATCAGGCTCAGGCTCAAGCTCAGGCTCAGGCTCATGATCAGGCTCAGGGGGTACAAGACGAAAAAGAAGATGTGGATGAAGGAGAGGATATGAAGGTGGATGAGTTCGATCAAAATTTCAATGTCGCTACGGCCCCCTCCACCGCCGCAGAAGCCGCCGCCGATGCTCCTCCTCTCGAAGAAGAACAAGATGCACCTGAAGACGACGAAAAAGTGTCTCGCGACAGCATCAATCACGACAACAACGATGACGTGAATGCGCGTGAGGATGACGAACCCCCCCACGACAACTACCCCGGAGACAATGAAGACGAGGAGATGGTCAACGCCGATGATGGCCTTGATGTCGACGAACCGGAACCCACCACGAATGGCGACCTTGTGGAAGAAACCCCAGAATCGTACCCCGACCGGTCGCCTACGCCCGTCTCCCAACCGCCGCCACCGCCACCGAAACCGGATAAGGTGGAATATCGCGCGAAGTTCCTACTTCGCGGTCATCTGCGGGGAGTGTCCGCCGTGCGGTTCTCGCCAGATGCGTCGATGATCGCAAGTGGAGGTGAGATTTGTCTTTTCGTGAGATATCCCATGGGAGGCTAGACTAACCATGTCTGTGATGTAGGGGCGGACGGGGCTGTCAAAGTGTGGGACACCGTGACCGGGAAATTGATCCATTCGTTCGAGGGCCATTTGGCGGGTATCTCTACGATCTCGTGGAGCCCGGATGGGGCGACCATCGCATCTGGATCGGACGACAAGACGATCCGACTGTGGAACGTCCTGACGGTATGGAAGACACTACGATCCAGCGCCGGCTGTCATTGAGGCTAATCACTCTACGTGCTTTAGGGCAAGGCGCATTCGATCCCGTTCGTCGGTCACCACAACTACGTCTACCAGATCGCATTCTCCCCGAAAGGCAATATGCTCGTCAGCGGATCCTACGATGAGGCGGTCTTCCTGTGGGACGTGCGGTCGGCGCAGGTGATGCGGTCGCTGCCGGCGCATTCGGACCCGGTGGGGGGCATCGACGTGGTCTGGGACGGGACGCTGATCGCCTCGTGCGCGACGGACGGGCTGATCCGCATCTGGGATACGGCGTCGGGCCAGTGTCTGCGCACGCTGGTGCACGAGGACAACCCGCCCGTCACGGCGGTCAAGTTCTCCCCGAACGGGAAGTACGTGTTGGCGTGGACGCTGGACGACTGCGTGCGACTGTGGGACTACGTGGCCGGCCGGTGCATCAAGACCTACCAGGGTCACAGCAACCGGAAGTACAGCCTGCAGGGCGGGTTTGGCACGTACGGCGGAGAGTCGGGGAACGGCAGCGGCAGCGGGATGCCGGTGTATGCCTTTGCGGTCAGCGGCAGCGAGGACGGTGCCGTCTTGTGCTGGGACGTGGTGAGCAAGCAGGTCCTGCAGCGCATCGAGGGCCACACAGGCGTGGTGTTGGGGGTGGATACGTGCTCGCTCGGAGGGGCGCGGCTGATGGTCAGTTGCGGGCTGGATGGGACCGTTCGCGTCTGGGAGGAGGCGAGCACCGCCGGCGATGGGCATGGCCCGACGACCAACGGCGCGCAGACGAATGGCACCGTGCTGAACGGCTACGGGGGTTCGATCTCTGACCCCAACACGCCGGCCGAACTGGCGGGCACTGAGGACGCAACTCCGATGGCAACGACCGCGACGGAGGCTGGGTTTGCCCAGACCAACGGACACCATAGCATGCCCGAGCCCGAAGATACCGATATGGGTGGGGCCTGAATGATAAAAGCAATTGCATCAACAGCAGCAGCTTCTTTACTGTACAGCGGTGTAAACCAAGGGATGGACGGGATGGCGTTTCAAGGTTGAGGGTGGGTGGGTTGTATACTAGTCATGAGGGACGAACCACAATTACTCAACATCTACCGTGAGCAACTAGGGGAGACAAGAGTCCTACCAGCGGAGGATGGAGGATTGTCTGTTTGTATGTACTACTATTTGTAATGCTGGAAGGATATCTGGCCCGTCATCTTTGACAGATTTTGACAGAGGAAAGGGATGGAAGCAAGACCAGCCCTAAATAGCTAGCTAGCTAATTCTCGACGATGCGAAGACAGCAAGCACTTCTTGATCCCTTGAGCACCGGTAAGAACGCTGTACGCATGAGGACTGGATTGTGAGAAGCTATAGTCTGAGGCGCAGGAGGATATCAATCGCCTCCCAAACCGACAAACCACCTCGGTGGTGGAATTGAAGATCGAACCAGAGACCGAGATGAGAAGAACCCAGCTCCAGGAAGGACGATCAGGGAGACCAAACTGTATATTCAATACCTAATATCCTTCAATAATCAATCTACTCAAGTTGACTAACCAACCAAACACTTGACTCAGAATCGTCAATCAACACAGTCAGCACAATGGCTATATCAAAGTTCCGAGGTAAGCCAGTTTGCTTTTCTTAAGATTATCAAAAAAAAAAGGGAAGTGTTCTATCTATCCGCACAGCTGTCTGTCTGTATGATGCCCCAGCCAAACCCCGACCCCGACCCTCTCCGCAGCCGTGTTCCAAACAAGACCTCGGTAGACACAGTAGTCTACAAGTACAATGTACTCGTATGCAATAGTAGTACTCATATGTACATCGTACACAGTAGATCAAAGTCCCCCCTCTCCCATTCATCTACAAGTGGTAGGGCCTTCTCTATCCGACTCCGAAAGAGACCAATTGAGTCATCATCTCAATCGGCTAACTAACTAACTAAAATCACACCTGCTTCCACCCCCGCTGATGTACTACGTACAGTACAAACAACACCCCCTCCCCTCCCCACCTCTCGTACCCCTCTTCTCCTCCTGCGGGATTTTTCCTGGATCAAGGAAGCTGAAGTGAGGTACTGGACTCGGTACAGTACAAGGTGATACACTCCACTTGCTTGACCGGACCGGAACTATCGGGGAGATTCTCACTAACGTTATAACACTATGTGCTGTACAGTACAAGGATGTGCATAGTAACGTACAGTACACAGTATAGATACTCATAGACCGTGCAAGGCGACGAGTCAATTGTATTGGGGGACGAACTTGGAAGATTTGAGACACCCCACCTATCGTACCTATCGTACCTACGGAGGAACCCTGTACCCTGTACATGTAGACCTAGGATGACAATCATTGATACTCATCGCGGGAGTAAGGACGGGGAAGAGGAGTTGGTGATATATAGCGGACCTTGGTTTATTGATGTTACTGGTGTTGTACTGTGCTTACTTGCCTTAAATATCGACTGAGGAGTCATCTCCATGTGCCTGGTAGGGATCTCGATATAGTGTATTACAAGTACTCTGTACCCAGGTACACCATAAGAAGCCGACCGGCCGCCCAGTACTTTTCCCGTGTGGAATTTGCATGTAATAGCTTTCAGATAGGGTAGGCACCCAGAAAATCTTGCTTTTACCCACACCTATGAGAAAGTACAAGCGCAGTCAGTTAAATCCAGCCGGTGAAGGGAAGGACAAAAAAGAACATCGAAGAAGAATCGAAACAGCCAACAGCCAAAACCCACACCCAATGAAAGCAACCCCATTGGCGCCCTCCGCTGGAACGTGAAACACCACACAACAAGAGAGAAGGAAAAAAAAAAAAAAAAAAACCTATCGGTAGTCTAGGTCTAGGTCTGGACCCCCAATTGGGCCGTGGGCGGATATTCTGCATTGCCAGTTGGTGGATTGTGCACTGCTGGGTTCAAGTTTTCTTTTACTGACGGTGTTAGTGCTAGGGATGATTGTGGTTTAGTTGGAGTGGGGGGATGGATTGTTGACGGCGGAGACGAGGATTATCGCGTGTAAGTGGAGACCCTTTAGTGTCTTGTCGAGGGAAAGTCAATTGGGAAGTGGGAATTGGATAGATACTCTTTGTCTGGTCTGGTCTGGTCTGGGTTTTAGGGTTGGGGGTTGGTGTATGTGGACTGTGGACTGTGTACGGCGTAGTACTCTGTATAGACCATCAAAGAGATACAAGAGTGGTGGGTACGCAGCGCAAACAACAAAGAAGGAAGGTTACATTCGCTGACCTACTGTAAACGGTCGTCGGAGAAAGAGAGACGGGATACATTCGCCACATTGACGATTATTGATTGATTGATTGATAGTCTACCATTCCTGAAGCTGCAGCATGGCACTGCATCTCCTGTCACTGTCACGGTACACCATGAGTAAGTGACAGTCGGTGCTGCTTAGCCATCTACAACACGGAGTTATCCTACAGTCCCTCGTATACGATATGCTCCAGATGGCCTGATTTGAGCCACGCAACCCGGCGCCGCCAGGGATTCCTCCGCACACAAAGGAGTGACTGCGAACGACACGGAGAGATCGAGGCAGCTCTAGGCAACCAAGTAGAGCTTCCCCTGGCCCCCATTCGGAGCTGTGTCTTGGCTATGTATGTTATTGTTGGAATGATCGCAGACCCTTGCTCAGGAATACTTCAGGGTGAGCAGGATTCAGGAGTACTCCTGAGAGGTTGTGGTGGTGGTGGTGGTGGTGGTGGTGGTGGTAAGAGACAAGAATAACCACGGAGTGATGGATCAGATGAGAAGACTTTGAAATGGATGTGGTGGACTGGACTAGGGCTGCCCTGTGGAGATAGAGACCGACACACAGACACACACACACAGACACACACACACAGACACAGAGAGAAAGAAAGCCGGGCGGAAAGTGGAGCAGAGAACAGCAAAGGGAGAAAGAAAGACTGCAACACAACAGCAGCAGAGGCGTTCGTTGGAGCTCCGCCACTAAATTCACTAAATCGACTAGCGTGCAAGTAGCGCTACTGAACGCCCCATCCCACTCAACTCACTGGGCCATGTCTGGGCTGGTGACTGACTGACTGACTGACTGACAGTTCGTCCGTTGGTCATTCTATCGGTCAGTCAAAAGTAATGCAAAGAGACAGTATTGTTGTTTTGCTGTTGGGTATCTAGATCCCGTCAGCAGCTCCAGCTGTCAAACGGGTAGAGAGAATCAGGGCACGATACTCAACTGCAGCTCGCCTGCAGGAACCCCAACCACGAAAGCAGAACCAGCACAACATGGTCGGTCGGCCAGTCAGATGAATCATGCACAGGCCAATCTTCCACCCGATGACGTTCCACGGATCGGCCCCCCGTTGGCCGCGGTGAAGGATGCAGGGGGGAAGAGGGTAGGTAAAGTTGTGGTTCAGGTACCCAGACCCGACAGACCCTCTGCATAGACCTATCAAAGACCCCAATGGATGAATATCGCCAAGATGAAACACTTTCGTTTTTGTTCTTTTTGCTTTTTTTTCCTTTTCCTTTTCTGTTTTTGTGTTTGGTACCTTTTTTTTCTCTCTCTATTTGTTATTGTTCTTTGACTGGATCCCCGTTCCTGGGCGTTTCGCCTGGTGGAAGGAAGGAAGCCCAGCCCTAATGGTTAGTTTTCCCCTCTTCTTTCGTGGGTATATATCCTCGACTCTTTCCCTCGTTTCTGCTCTCTCTCTCTCTCTTTTTCTTTTCAGTATACTGATCACTCCTCAGTACCCAGTCATTCCTTTGTCATTTGACACCTGCTGAACAATTACCTGTGCCGTGCACGGTTCTGTTCATCCATTCCTTATCCTAAGCGCTACTTGAGTTCCAAGTAGCCATACCACTCCCTCCTAAGAACGCGAGAACCGGTCTTCTCAGTCTACCAACCCTCCAACACAAAAGAGCAAAATGGTCTCCTTCACCAAAGCCCTCCTCATCGCCAGCAGCGTGGCCAGCACCGCGCTGGCGATGCCCTCGCACATCCACGCCAACCGCCACACCGGCGCCAACCACCCGCACGTCACCCTGGAGCAGCGCAGCATCAACAGCACCTCGGGCAAGCGCGGCGCGGCCTACAACAGCGCCAGCACGGTGACCACGCTGGCCCACAGCGGCACGGTGACCTGGGGCTACGACTGGAACATGTACAGCGACGGCAGCCTGCCCTCGCACGTGGAGTACGTGCCGATGCTGTGGGGCAGCAAGATGTTCGGGACGTGGTTCACGGCCATCGAGACGGCCCTGAACAGCGGCAGCAAGTACATCCTGGGCTTCAACGAGCCCGACAACAGCGGGCAGGCCGCCATGTCCTCCTCGGCGGCCGTGTCCGCCTACCAGAAATACATCACCCCGTTCAAGGGGAAGGCCAAACTGGTCACGCCCGCCGTCACCAACGGCGTCGGCGCCGACACGGGCCTCGCGTGGGCCGAGAACTTCCTGTCCGGCTGCGGCGGCAGCTGTGGCGTGAGCGTGCTCGCCGTGCACTGGTACGGCGACTCGGCCGCCGACTTCAAGACCTTTGTAGGCAAGGCCGTGGCGCTCGCCGACAAGTACGACCTCGACGAGACCTGGGTCACCGAGTTCGCCCTCAACAGCGCCGTTGGTGCCGGCCAGGGCACCCAGGAGGCCGCCTCCTTCCTCGAGGAGGTCGTCCCCTGGCTCGATGGCCAGAGTGGCGTCGGCCGCTATGCGTACTTCATGTGCGCCGAGGGCTATCTGTTGAACGGGGACGGGTTGAGTGCCTCCGGCCAGGCGTATATCGCTTAGGCATCGTCTCGCCTCGCCTTGCCTCTTGACTTTTGACTCGATGACTTCTGATTTGGCGGAGAGTGATGTGGGGAGCGATTTTGGCTTTGCCATTGCCTTTGCCTTTGCGTTTACCATTACCATTTGCCTCAGGAAAATACCTCCCTCGAGCGGTGATTTGTTTATCATGATGATTATCGGTTTTACAGTGTTACACTTTTGATACCAGTTTGATTTTCTTTTTTTGTGTTGTACTCACAGAGTCACAATTTGTTTCACCCTGATTCCCATTGTCCATACAGTTCCATGAATCTGAAACAACAAAAAGTCCATACAAAGACCATTGTATTGTTCCTACATAGTACAATCCTCCTACAATTCCAACAATTCCAACAATTCCAACAATTCCAACAATCCAACAAAACAATCCGACAAAACAATCCAAACCTGAAACATGTTGTAAAAAGCAGACCAGACCAGACCAGACCAACCTCCTTCCTGCCCACTGCCCAGAAAACAAGTTCCCTCAATTGTTATTATTGTTTGTCTCTCCCCCCGATCCATGGATCCATGGATCCAATAAGCCCCCCCCCCCCCCCCAACCAACCACATGTATTGCAACCCAAGAGCCCCGACTTTCATCTCGCCCGAACCAAGGATGCAACTGCTGTCTGGACTTTGGGCTGTGGGGATCAGTCGCCAGGAATTGATTGGGTGGTCCCACGATTTCCAACATTGGGGATTGGATTCTTATTAGGAGATGGATGTCATTCAATCACTTTTTTTTCATTGCATTGCAGAGAGCAGACACAAAGTGAAGTGGTGCAATCTTGTTGCTAAACTGGTTGGAGGTCATAACTATGGGTCCTGGTTTCCCTAGGGTTTTTTGACCGTATACCCGGAAATGGATAATGAACCCTCCGTCACTAGACTGCTTTCAATGCGACTCAGACTGAGTTACGGAGCACAGCACTTCCAACGACACCGCCACATCGCCCACACCAATGGGTAGTTACAGTATATGCCCAGGAAAATGCTATTTGTATTATTTCCCATCAGCAGCCCAGCACCCACCAACTAGCTCAAACTTTTCCCCAATGCATCAGCAAACACCACACATCTCCAGGAAAAGGTTCCATGCACATAGGACGGAACAGCAGCTTGACAGCTTAATCCATCACCATCACCATCGCTGACACATCCCACGAATGAAAACACCACAAGTCACATAAGTCACACTGTATCCGCGCGCCGTCACTTCCCTAAATACATCATATCATCCCCTTGATACAATCTTACATCGTTTCCCATCCCCCATTGTTGATATCCGCTTCCAGCTTGCGGCTGATCATCGTTGGAATCCCATGCGAGAGCCACACGTCGCGAACCAAACGGTCGTAGCGTTTCTGGTTCAGAATCAACTGACGGTTACGCCGGAGGCCCGGGTCCACTTCGCCGTGCCGATCCAGGTACGGCGCATTGTGCCAGGAACCGCTGCGGTTGTGAAGGTAGACCACCATGCACTTGCGGATGTTGAGGAAGAGCCCGATGTATTTACCACATCTGATAGACATCCAGTTAGTTTGTATAACCAAAGAGGAGGAAGCAAGGAGGAACTCACTTGTAAACGTGTTGGTTGCATCCGCCCAAGTTCTGGCTCTTGTCCATGCAACACACGGCCTGCGAGCAGAAGATGTCACCACAGAACAGGCAGATGCAGGGATCGGTCAGCTCCTTCTTCGAGTTCGGGCAGCGCCGTCGGTTGGCCTCGTCGATCAAATTGTCGTAGTATTTGGGCAGCCCGACCAACTCGAAGATCCCCGGGTGAGGGAGGCTCGGCCACAACGTGTGGTAGCCGAACGTCAGCCCGGGCCGCGACACATTCCAGTGGTGGATCCAGCCCGAGATGACCGAGTCGAACACACTGCCGCGGTTGCGCGAAGCGTTGACAGATCCGAAGATCTCGTCGAGAGACGGTAGATGTAAGAGCTTGGTCAAGCGGTCAAGCTCTGGAGCGTCAACGTCGTTGAAATCCGTGCTGGGGAACTCGACCCCGTGCTGAACGTGAAGAAGAATGATCACCTTGCGAAGGAAGGTCAATGCGTAGCTGGAAATGAGCCGGCGCAGGGTTAACGCCACCTGCCGCGACACGGCGCTTCCGTCCGCCACGTAGTTACCCTCGGTTGGGAACGACGTGATCTCCTCCTGACCGATATTGGTTCTCAGCTCGGTAACGATGGAGTTGAAGAAGTGGCGACTCAAGTCGGCCCGAGGGTCCGTCTCATCAAGCGCCGGCATGTAGTTGGCATCGCCATGCTGAACCACTTCTTCCTGCAGCCCCGAAGGCCAGAGGATGTAGGTGATGGCGACCTTGACGATTTCGGCCACATAACACATCTGGATCAAATGACGCATATCAATGGGAACGGTCGGCAGAAGCGAAACCGAGCACTCGGCCAAAAACACAAACGTATCCTTGCCCAGGAGCGGTTCAATCTCGCGCCTCTCCCTCAATAGAGGTGTACCACTGAGGTAGGGGTGACCAATGAACAGTTGACAGATCTTTTGCCGGTGCGTTTCGTGCACCTCGTCCGCACTGAGATTATGCGGGCTATCGCCATGCTGTAGTGATCCGACCGCCGCGTACGAGAAGGCCGTCTCGGCGAGGATGCGCAGATGCGTCAGTGTCAGCTGAGGGATCTTGTCCAGCAGGGTCGAGCCCGGTTCCGAAGCGACACCCCGCTGCGCTATCTCCACGGCCGCGATGCTGTAGCCAAAGCTCTGGAACAGCGAGTCGGTATGCACCAGGTCACTGCTTTCCAGTGTACCAGGAACATGGTTGAACGTGGATGGGATGTGGTTGACCCGCAAAGTCTGCTTCAGCCTCTGATAGATCTGCAACAATTCGGAAAGCGGGTTCTCGATCGGACTGAAGGTCGCCTGAAGCGGGCTGGTGGCAGAAGGATCCTCCGCAGGGAAGAGACCAGGCATGGGTAATCTGACCGTTGGCATGGAAAGAGGAGTCGACGGGAATGAGGGAGGGGATGGGAGATTGCCCAACTTCGAAGCGAGCGGTGGGACCAACGTCTTGGACAGATAGTTCACGAAGAGCTCCTGGTACGCTAGAGCCTGCGGGTTGCTGTTGCTCTCCGCAAGTAATGCGTAGTTGCGGGGTTGCGAGAGAACGGACTTGAGCTCAACATTAATGAACTCGTCAAACGAGACAGCGGTACCCAAAGCTCCCGGATACGACTCTTCCTTACCCTTCCAGACAATGGGAAGGAAAGCATTTCCGAGAGCCTTGCAGAGAGGGCAGACGAACTCCTTGCGCGCTAGCGACTCCGGGTGGGCTCGAGCGACTTGTTGATGGTGACGACGACCAGTAGCAGTGAGGTAGACCTCGAAGCAGTGGTAATGCATGATATGGCCACAGCCGGTCGTCACCGGCCCCGGATTCGTGTTATGGGCCTTGAAGCCTTTGCTTAGTCCAATCTTCTCGCTGACGACTTCGCCACCCGTCGAGTCCAGTCGGCGGACGGTCGTGCGGTTTTCACCAGCGACTCCGAAAGGACGAAGATGGTCGGCCGACTTGTCCAGGCTCGCTGGTGTCCTGATTGCCTCCCGCACCCAGTCCGCATCCGACACATCAGTACAACGGAGGATGGTGCTATCCTGGATGAGGGCAAATGTGCCGTAGAGTCGCGAGTCATTGGTCTCCTCCTGACAGAGGATGCACGTGCCACTGGGATACTTCCACAGCTTCGTCTCGGGTGCAGTCTCGGGTTCCGACTCGAGATCACTGAAGTCTTCCTCGCCCCAGTCAAATTCACCTTGGCTGTTGAGGAAGTTCTGCTGTTGCTGCTGGAACTGGGCCATGACCCGGGCCTGCCTTTCTAGAGCCTGCCTCTTCTTGGTCTCCTTCTCAACGTCATTGTCGATAGCAGGAGTGCTGGTGTCAACCCTGTCAAAGGGGAAGTTCAGGGAAGCGGTGGCTGAGGCATAGGCCTCGGGACGCTTCTGCCAGAATTGCTTGAGTATATGCCGGATCTTGGCTCCGCATGATTTGAAATCGGATATCACGGAAATCTTCTCAAGGAGACCCACGATAGTCACTGGACCAGCCTGCGTCGAGTGTCGAACCTTGTTCAATGCGTGAGAAATGAAGGATGCCGGCGAACCGTCGGACATCTCATCCTCGTCGCTCTTATCATCCAGCGAGGCGGCAAGAATCAGATGCAGGACCACATGAAGGAAAGTCTCAATCCGAGTAGGTTTGATATGCGGAGTACCCGCTTGGAACGACACCACATAATCCAGACAGTGGTGCACAAGCTGAGCGAAGACCATGGTTCGGGTGAAGCGATGAAGCTCGGAGAAAGCTCCGGTGGTGATGGGGCGTAATTTGGGCTCAAACACCACGTCATCCGCTTTCTTACCAGTCTTCTTAGCCACCCAGGCTCTGTAAATGGTCTCCGCTTCATCCCGTTGATTCTTGCTGTAATGAGCGCTGTACGGATCAATAAGGTCAAGATACTCCGGCTTCAGCTCGAAGGTACCAGTATCGTTTAACCCCTCGGGTGCCCGAAATTTGGCAACCTCCTCAAGCACATCCTGGAACATATCCGAGTCAAGGGGCTTGTCGCTGAGCCGCGTGGACAGGTCAGAGAAAGACAGCGGCCTGAAGCAAAGGACATGCGCGATATCACGGATGATGCTCTCCCGAGTTGCGCTCTCGCTGTCGTCGATGGCGGTGAGCGAGGTACGGTCCGTCAGGAGGATAATCAACAGGTGGACGAACTCCTCGGCCACGTCGACGATCTGGTTGTCCTCGTAGACGCTCCGGGGGCTGTAATCCCGGTTCATCCAGTCCACCATGCCGAAACGTTCCGCGATGGACGCAAGGACCCGACTAGGATCGCAGGTGACCAGGGCAGTCTGAAGCAAGAAGATGTCGCGATAATACGCAAAATCACGGGATGAGACTCCCCGGTACTGTGACATCTGATGCCGAAGGCTGAGAC